GTTTTTAATGGAATTTTACATTCTTTCTAGCACACATTTATATTAGTTTTAGCAAATCCTTTTAGAATTTTTTCTGGAGCCTCTTATATTTTAAGCTACGTTGAGTTTCAGCTCTCACACATGGTCGTTGTTGAAGAAATAATTTCGCAGTTATTTGTACGATGTTTTATGTATAGTTTTATCTAAAACACTATTGTGTCACTAAAAACATATGTTCTGGGTATGACGATAAACTACATCTGCGTCCTGGGTAAGACGATAAACTACGTCCAGCAGCAAAGCCTCTGATCAGGAGGTTTTGAGGAGCGTGGAACCATCTCTTAATTGCTAGTGTTCCCAGGTCCACTTTGACCCGGGGTGGTAGCACCTGTTAGGATCCTAGCTATGGGTAAATAGCTAACACCCAAACTTGCGTAAAAAACAGGTTTTAATACCAGAATTTTTTTGTAATAAAAAAAGTTATTACCAGCAATCAATTTTGAAGGAAAAATTATTATCAGCAATACTTTAAAAAAAATACCAGCAATACAAATAGCTATACATTCTTTGAAAAAAAATATGACCAGCTATAGATTTCTTCAAGGAAAAATATTCCTAGAAATAGATTGTTAAAGAAAAACATATTACCAGCAATAAAAACTTTGTCGGCATTAAATAACCCATTGAGGTGTTTATATGCAGTAAAAGAAAACAAACCAAACCTAACCAAACTAAAAACATGCTTTAAGGAAAAGAAAACATTACTCACAACATGTAAAAGAGTTGACTGAATAAAAGAAAGAAAGGAAGGAAGGAAAGAAGGAAAGAGAAAGAAAGAAAGAAAGAAAGAAAGAAAGAAAGAAAGAAAGAAAGAAAGAAAGAAAGAGAGTTTTTCTTTTATATATTTTATTAGATTTTACTGCTCAGATCTAAAAACCAAAAAAATTGTATTCAGAAAAAAAGAAAATTATCATATTCGGAAAAAAGAGAAAATTTATAGTAGCCATTTTTCAAAATGCCATATTTCGTAAATTATTCATAAAAGCAAAATGATTTTAAATGCATTTTTAAGTGGTTCTTAAATGGGTTTTAGAAGAAATAAAATTCATTATCAACAAAAACACAAGCATTTTTCTTTACATAAATAATATTCGCAAAGACATCGTGAAAAATCTCCAAATAGCAACAATGATATTCACAACGGAAATATTCAACTTCCAGCAAAGAAATACGAAGATTCGGCATTATCAAGAATTTTTAAAAAATACCTTTTTTTTCCGTTCTTTGTATTTATTGAGTTTTGAATTATGTTTGGCTCTTTCATATTTTTCTTGTTTAGATTCGGTTCGACCTCAGCCACACAAAATGACATTGCAGCAAATCAATTTTTAAAGAGCTGGAGTATAACTCTATTGCTCAAGATGAACCATCTTTAGAATATTGTTGCCACAAATTGTCAAGTACCCCTGCTATTTACCTTGAGCTCCTTGATAAGATCCAAAGAAGAATCAGCAATATTATTGGTCCTGATCTGGCGAATTGGCTTCAGTCACTTGCCCATCGCTGTAAAGTTGCCTCTCTGTGTTTTTTTCTATAAATAATTTCATGCTAATTTTTGGGATGTGCTCTTCATTATGATACCTAGACTTTATGAATTTAAGCACAGTCCTAGACTGGTGTTGAAATCTCCTCAATTTATACTTGATACTAGCTAGATGTAGCCGTAAGTCCTATGATAACAGTTTATTTCCTCGCACTTCTCACTTGTGCAACTGCGTTCAGGTTCCATGCTTTCCAGCCAATTGTAATCTGCAAAATAAAATGAAATGCAATGTCAATCGCTATCTTCTCTTCTCCTTATTACCCTTTTCTCTGTCTGCCCATTATTAATGTTCCTGTTTCTAATTCCTCCACACCCTGTAACCCCTTGAGTCTTAATGGCTCTACCCACTTCCTACCGATGAAAAACTGATTAACATGAATAAATACCATCTAATTACCTTTTGTTTACCCATACTTTACTTGTACAGGTGGATTAATTCCTTTCCCAAATATATTAGCGTGAAGTGAATGCAAGAAACTAGGACGGATTTTGAACTCGAATCGCCGAGAATCCTATAGGTCATCAACCCGAAGCTCACTCACAGTTCACTTATTTCTTTTCTGCTACAGTCAAGATGCAGACATCCACTTTATTTGATGATGTTGAACATGATTGCAACCATCTGAAATGCATGAAACGGATTAGATTCAATACCAGTCCACAGTTGACCACTACCAGTGCTTTCCAGACAAGTTTCACATTCAAGTAACTCAGTTCTAATCAAAACTTACTAAGCCAATGTTATCGATATTGTGCTAATAAGATAAGCACCTCCAGTTTCCCCTCTCGCTTTGCAACATATCTATCATAATAAAATAAACGTTTTTCAGAGCTAAAGCTGAATGTGTCAGTGCTTCATAAGCTTCTACTTAGAGGGGGTTACCATATTACAAATACTATTACTAACTTCACTTCTACTAAACATATTCTCTAAGCCACTGATTTTAAATATGGTAGTAATATATGTTTTCACATCGGAAGCAATACGTGCTCAGTGTCATTATGGGAGTGATCAAATTTTTACATAATTATTTGTTATTGTTAAAACAGATATATTTCGGAAAGCTTTTGCAATTTTTTATCACTCTTGAGAAGTAAATTTATTTCTCATGAGGGAGCAAGGATTGCAAAAGCTTTCCGAAATACAATGGAATTACAAGTTTGTATTGTTTTTAATTCAACTTACCAACGGAATTAAGCGTTTTTACAATTATAATTACTTTTTATCTATGTATTTACATTTTTCTTCAATAAATCAGGATTTAACTTAACGTCTGGTAGACCGAGTCAAGAGTTTCGAGAGTTAATCTAACATCTGGCCCCGATTGGCGTTTTGATCAAACATCTGGCCCTGATGGGCATTTTGATCAAACATCTGGCCCTGATATGCTTTATGCTTTCAGGATGTCACTAGAGTTATTGAATATCATAACCCTACTTATCGATTGGACATTTTTTGGCAGAAGTTCTGCTAGCCTAACCTGAAACATAGGTCAAATTATTGTAATGCTTTCGTATTTCTTCAATGGTATTATACTTATTAGTTCTATTATTTATATATTTAAACCTATTTTAAATATTTTGATGCAATTGTACTGAGCGTATGGATTGAAAACCGGTATGTCAAAGTCTGTCAACTTTAATTCCGTCACCATGATTGCCACTTGGCTGTTCTTACAACAACTTATAAATTATTACGAGTCAGAGTGGACATTACGACGTGGTGTAATATTTAGCAAGCTAGTCGCGCTAGATAAAATTACGAGTAGTGATTTTGATTCTTACTATGTGTTCCACACATTCGACCTTGTATCACATCTAAGCTAAGCTATCATTTTGGGAACTTCGACGTGGTGTAATTGTTATCAAGCTTATCTCGCTATATCAATTACCATTGAGCAGTGACTTCGATTTTCATCGAGTGCTTCTTTCTTTCGGCCTTGTGCTACATCTAAGCTATGCCTAGTTAATAACTGTTAAGCGTCAGATTGGACCAAAAGTGTAACATTGTTGCCATACTTGACGTATCCAATCTACACATTTCAGTCTGATTCGAGTTCAAAATTGTTTACGCTGTCTTGTGGCGAGTACATATTTTCGACTCTGCAATTTGTAAAAGCCATGATATATGACCTTTACAAGTAAAAAAAAAACATGATATATGGCTTTTACAAGTTGCAGAGTAGAAAATATGTCTTCGCCACAAGACAACGTAAACAATTTTGACATTGAAACAGCTACAAGACAGAATTCATGGTCGTCAGCAAAAGGATGAGCCCGAAATGCGATTTGCAAGTCAGGGACACTAAAAATCAGTCAGGTGCGAAGGTTTAAATATCTGGGATGTGCTGCGACGGAGGACGGCAAGTGCGAGGGAGAGAACCGAAGACGTAGTGAGATGGCCAAAAAACGCATTCCAAAAGCTGGACAAAGTACTGGGAGACAAGAGGATTTCTTTTGTGACAAATAAAGGTGTACTGAGCTGCTACGTGATATCTGTCCTCCTTTATAGCAACGAATGTTGGACGGTCTCCTCAAAGGTGAAGAAGAGAGGCAACGGAGGTATGGTTCTACAGAAGGATACTAAGGATATCATAGACCAAGCGTGTGAGCAACGAGAAGGAAGCTTATAATTAACACCAGGAAGGGGCAACTGAAATTTCTGGGACTTGTAATGAGAAATGAGAGCTGAGAGAATCTGATACTCACAGGTCGAATAAAGGGAAAGAGAGACAAGGCAAAGCAATGCCTGACATACCTAGCGGCCTTACGGAAGTGGATGACATGGCCTGGGGGAAGTAGCAAAGGGACAAAGCTTATTGAGAGTTACAAGGGATAGGGGGAAGTGGAGAGCCATGATCGCCTACGTCCTGAAGGGACACGGCACATAAAAAGAAAGAAAGAACTTGTAAAAAATTAATATTGGGCTACAATAGGTGAATAAATTCAGAGCAGGAAACATCCACACGGGAGTCTGTTCTACAAAGTTGAGGAAGAATTTGAGTGAAACTTCCTCCTTACAATTGGAATACAGCGGAAATTCGACTCCATAGGCGTACTATGTCATCTCCTAGCTATAGTCGTCTGAACTGATGGAACTAAAAAGTGGAACTCATAGGAAGAATTATGGAAAATTGATAGTGTAGTGATAGATCGCATTGTTTCGTCTGTTGGAAAGTGACCAGAAAGTGGAAAATAAGTTGGTCCCTTGAAGATCGCGTAAATGATTTGATTTTGAATTCTATCAAGCCTGGAGAGTGGGTTTTGAGAATCACAAGACCAAATATGGCGACAATATCTCGTTTCTGATCTCATCTGACTCTTGTAATTAGAATGAATAACAGAAGTTTAAGTAATTTCTGCCACGATAGAATAAGCCAGACATTTTCAAACATCTTTATCAATGAATCTTTCTTAGCTTCACTTACTCTCTCTCTCTCTTTCTCTCCTCTCCCCCCACTCTCTCTCTCTCTCTTTACACAGTTTTGTTTTATTCTTTCTCTTACTTCACTCCTCTAACTCTCTCTCTCTCTCTCTCTCTCTTTATCCTAATATCTCTTACTCTGTTTCCACCACTCTCTCTCTCTCTCTCTCTCTCTTACTCTCTTTAGTACACAGCTCTCTTTTACTCTATTTTTTATTCAGTTTCTCTTACTCTCGCTCTTGCTTACCTAACCTTACTCTCTCTTTCTTTTAGTCTTTCACTCATTGACTCCTACTACCTTTCTTACTCATAATCACTTACATTCTCTTATTATCTATCGTCCTGTAAATGACGATAAACTACATCCGGCGGCAAGATCATCGATCGTGAGGTTTCGAGGAGCATGGAAGCACATTTTAATTGCTGTTGTCCCTGTTGTTCTCAGGTCCACACTGACCCTGGCTGGTAGCACCTGTTAGGGCCCCAAATATGGGCAAATAGTGAACCCCAAAAGTGAGGTCAAATCATGAAAATATAAAAAATAAATTAGAAAAAATTACCAACTATATATTAGATTGGTGCAAAAATAATGTCGTTTTTGACGTTATTTTTGCACCAACCTAATATTTTCATTAAAAAAATACCAGCAATGCTTTTTTTGGAAAAAAATGCCAAAGCTCACAAGAAATTACAATTTTGGCATTAAATGACCCATAAGATGTTGATGTGTCGTTAAACAATCCACACTAACTAATCTTTTTATCTCTAATATTCACTTTCAATCAAATTCAATTAATCTCTCTCGTTCTCTTACTTGCCGTATCTTTCTTTCTTTTTTAGTTTCAGTAATTTTCTATCTCTCTTGTTCATTATGTCTTCTTGTCTATCTCTCCCTCTCTCTTACTCACCCCGTCTCTCTTTCTCACTTCTATTTAGCATTTACTTCTCTCTTTCTCTCTTCTCTCGCCCTCTTTCTTAG